TTCAAATGCTTTCTTAAAAGCCTAGTGGAATATAAAGCTTGATTTTTCTCACCTCCTTGTATTCAAGAGGAATACTTCAGAACACAGGAAGGAATTAAAATGACCTTTAAATTTTGGAGGCTGGCTTGCATTTTTTTTTTCCCTTTATAACTGTTTTGTTGTAGCGGCTGCTATACTTTTTTCCCATATTAAGCTTTCTAGAGTTTTTTGCTCTCAATACTGCTTCTCACTGTTCTTTTCAGTGCATGTGTTTTATGAATTAAGGTTCTATTTTGAAAGTGAGTAGATTTTGTATACCTAAAATGTGTGTAGGCCTTGCATGCTTGCATTTTTTTCTGAGCTTAAATCACTTGAACATCTTCAAAGGGGAAAAGATAGTGGGAATGTTGTAAGAATGACTTTGTTTTAATGTATATATATAACAAAGTCTGTAATTCTGCAGTGTTACTGTAGCTGACGTACTGTATAATGATCAGGGTCTTAAAACAAACTAGTTGTATTTTTTAAGTTACTAACCTGTGATTCTGCTGTTTTATCAATAGGATTCTAATTTTGGGAAAACTAAATAATCTGGTAAAGGAATGGATACGGGAAATCAGTGAAAGCAAGGTATGGATGTATTTTATATGGAACTGCTCCTACTAAGACTGCTGTAGGAAGAAAATTCCAAAATATATTCCCAGTCTAAACGGGCTGAACCTTAGATTTGGGGATCAAATTTGAAAAACAAATACCACCTTTTGTGTAGCTTCTTTTGTTTCCAGGCAGCATCACCCCTTCAAAGTAGAACCTTGTCAAAGAAACAAACTGATAAATACTGGAAAAAGTCATGGTAGCTGTAATGGTAATTTTCAATTGTTCCCTCTTCTCCCTAGGTAGAAATATAGCTTGACTTTTTGTCAAAATATGTATGTATATTACTATGTTAATTGTATGCTTAGATTGTTTGTCTTTCGGAACCACTGCTTGATCTTAAAATGGGCTTCCTGCAGCTTTATCATCTGTGGTCTTTAATGTCAGTCCTGTATTGTTACTTTTGCTGACTCTGATGGTAGTGTTTTTGCCAGGTTATATAGCCCCCCTGCTCCCCACCTACACACACTTGTCTTTAAATTATTAGAGACTTGCAAAACGTAAAGATGGAAGTGGCCTTTTTAGGGGTAAAAGCCTTATTTTTTAACGCTATTTTACAAAATGTGAATTTATGTGTGAACAAGATTATGGGCGGGGATGACCCTGCTATGTATGTGGTCATCCTTGAAAACAAAATAGTGAGAGTATCTTGACTGGTATAAGATTGGAAACTACTTAAGTTAATCCAATATACATTGCAAAATATTAATTTTTTTATTTGTTTATATTTTTTGCCATGTAACCATTAATGGAGGGCTTTAGATTGTAACATTGTATCCTGTTATGAAAGAGTAACTGTCTTTGCCCACAGTACTCTGGGTGCAAGAGTTTTTTGAAGATACAAATTTAAGAACTTTAGTAGATGTACCTGAGCAATTTTAACATAAAGTAAATACCTCTCCCAAAACAAAACTTTTATTTAAAAAAAATGTGGTATGGGTGTCTCAAAAGTAATTTAAAAAACACTGATACTGTAAATAGTATTTTTGTGTGGCTCGAAATTGGAATCCATCATCAATTTCTAAGTCAGCCTAAAATGCCAGTGTATTAAGCAAAATGTGTTTAATGTCCATAATATTTTAATGCCGTTGCACCTGAAGTGTAGAACTGCTGGAACAGTTACCAAGCTTGAGACAGTAATGTGTAATGTAGCTGAAATGTTACAAATAGTTCCCAAGTGGCAAACATACCTCCATCTTTTTCATAAATACTAAGATTATTATTTCAGTAGTAACTACACCTTAAACAACATAAATTTTGTAGAATATTTTTCCTTTTCTTTTAAAAGAAACTGTGTATGTCATTATAACTTGTTAAGGTAAAATAACCAATTTTATTTACTCCCTTTAGAATCTTCCACAGTCTGTAATAGAAAATGTTGGAGGAAAAATTTTTACATTTGGATCCTATAGATTAGGGGTTCATACAAAAGGTAACATTTACTTTTTGTTATAAAACTGATGCGTTTGAGCTAATGACATATCTGTAAATGCCACACTTAAGTAACGTAAACTTACTGTTTTTTGAGGTGGTGGTAGATCTTTTTTAAAGTTTTTTTTGTTTGTTTGTTTGTTTCTATCTCCAGTCTTCATTCTAAATAAAAGAAATACCTTCCTATGTTATGTTTTTGTCATGGGTTGGGAAACAGACAAAAAAGTTGGAAATTATTTAAAAATGGAGGAAAGTTGTATATTTGGATTCTCATGGTTTGTTCTTTGAAAATTACTAGAAATGTTCCACAATTGAAAGAATAATATAAACTTTTTTTTTTCCATTTTGTTAGACTTAGTATTTCCAAAGACAAGCCATTCTGCAGGAAGAGAAACTAAATTTTCCTGTTTGTTTTTTAAAAAAAAAATTCTGGCTATTGCTGGCTTTTCGTGTCTGAAGTGTGAGTAACTTCTGCTAATGAACTATTTCAGGTGCTGATATTGATGCCCTGTGTGTTGCACCAAGACATGTTGAAAGAAGTGATTTTTTCACATCGTTTTATGAAAAACTGAAACAACAAGAAGAAGTAAAAGATCTGAGGGTATGTGAACTGCCTGATACAGCTAGCTGAACTGATGATGCTGAAAAGATAATAGTGAAAGATGATGCACTGAATAAGTGAATATAACTTTACTATTAAGGCTTGCAGTGGATTTTTAGTTAACCTGCAGCAAAGCCTATCACCGTAGTTGAAAGAAATAGATTTTCCCGTAATTTTCTCGGTTCCCACTTAATAGAGAAATTTATTTAAAAAAATGGATGGCAGAATGATCTCCTAGCATGTGTGTTAGTATTGCAAAATTTCTGCTTGCCTTCTAACATCAGGCAGATGCAAATGTGTTAGGTTGCAAAGGATCAGGACCAAACTTGTGTGTTTTCAACAAAGGTTTTAAAGTGTACTGTTATGCTGCTCTTTTTATAATTTCATGCTTATATAAACAATTACAGTGGTTGATATTAACTAAACCTTCTATATTGGCTGTCAACTGTGCATTTGAAAATGGAAGTTACATTTTTAGTGTGTCTCGCTATTAGATGCTTGTGCAAGATTTTTAGCATGTGAGGATGAAGATTCCTGTTGTAGAAATGGAAGACACATGGGTATATAGTATTTTGTTTCTATTATACCTAAATGACAGGCCTCCCTAGGTCAACTGGTGGAAGCTGTAATCTTCTCAGTATTGGCTCAGAGTAAATTTTCTCTGCTGCAATTCTTGTTTGGGTTTTTTTTTTTTGGATAGTTGCTGGCAAGTCTTAAACTTTGTTTGGTTTAGTCCTTCTCCCATAAAAGAAATGGAACTGTCTCTGCAGCATTCTTCCACTCTATGCATCCTGTAGTTGGTAACTACCAGGGTAGTGCAAACATGGTGGTAATACTATATGCACTGAAATAACTGTTTTAAATTCCTTATCTGAACACTTCTAGTCATCATTAAAGCCACATGCTATAATTAAGAGGATTCTGATTTTCAGGTTTTCAGTTAACTTTCCTACGAACTCTAACTCAAGCTAATGTTGTTGATGTAGCAGCAAGGTAGATCAATGTACACTGTTCAGTGTAGCTCTGCATTGATGCCAGTAAACTTTAGGTTAGGGTGTCATAACACTTTCAAATCATTCCAGCTAGGTCTAAGAAAGTTTATACATCTCAATCTTTAGGGAACATAAGCTTTCTTAATGGTTGCTCTAGTGAGTGAGTCTTGAGACAGTTGTGAATGTTGTATTTTGTGTAGGATCCATCCTGACAACCAGTAATGTTAAGGTAACCTTAACTAAGGTTAAGTGCATAGAGTAGTGTGTCTCCTCCGATTGTTAAGAACTGGAACACTCTTAGATCTGTGTTTAGCCTCTGGCCGTTCCTAACATCTCTTATTCAGAGGTGTGCAGTGTTTTTTGCTTTTATGAAGGCAGTGCTCTGCAGATCTGCATTTAGTTCAGATACTCTGTTCAGGAAAATGATATTCCTACCTGATTGCAGAGTAGACCTTATGTTCCATAGTTTCACCATGGGTTCTGTTTGTCAAAGTACCTTATTAATGACTACATTTAGAAAAGATGCTTGAGCTCTCGAGGCTGGCAACTTGCATCTGGTTTAGGTGAAGTCAGACTGCTTAGTTACACAGTTGTCTCCTTGTCATTTCTCATAAAATACTGACTGCAGAAACAATAGAAGCTTCTTAGAGTAAGAACCCCCATAGGTTGGCTTTAGAATATTTAGAGATGCTGTAAGGAGTAAAAGATACTTGATCATGTCCTACATGTAATGAGAAAGAGAGTTGGACCTTGAGGTAACATCAGAGCTGGCTGGTATGAGTTTTGGTTATAATTAACATGTAGACAGCTATAGCGTGTAGTAGATCAGTGCTTAACAGCATAAATCCCCAACACTGGAAAAAGACGTTGCTGACAAAAATCAACCTGAAAACAGAAAAGCATCTGTATAAATAGCATTTCATCATGATCGTGTAGACCTGCTAACTATTGCTTGTAAATGTTCTTCTCTATACTGAAAATAAAATGTAACTTTTTCCTTCCCCAGGCTGTTGAAGAAGCTTTTGTCCCAGTTATTAAACTTTGTTTTGATGGAATAGAGGTAAAGATCATCTTTTATTTTGTTTTGGTAGAACGTGGTTAAAACGACGTTTTCAAGATCTTCATAATTTATGAAGCTTTCATTAATATGGATACTATTAAAGTGAGCCTCTCTCTGCCCAAGTTCTTGACAACAGTCCTCAGCTGTGTCATTTGAAGTGGGGCTTTTAAGACTGAAACAAGTCTTTCTTTATGTACTTAAAGCTATGTATAGAATATTTTCCTGTTCTCTTTTAGGCACTGCTACCCATTTGTACTGATTAGTTTACTGACCTGTAGAGTACCAGTATTGGCATTATTATGATTTAACATTTAATAGAAATTATATTCATAAATAAGGTAGCTTCAGTAACTTTTTGGCTGCTAATGATTAACTGTCCAAACATTAAATTCAGATTTGCTTCAATACCTTATACTATAGGAAGCTGTGGGATCTTTGATCGTTCTCAAAAATGTACTGTATCCCCTTTGTCCCGATCTCTTTGGATGTCTGTAAACATATGACCAAAACAATGGTTTTGGTGCCTGTAGCCTTATGGATCAGCTGTCTTGCAATGATGAAGTTGTTTAACGTGATTTTTACTATTTTGGGAGAAGTTGATGAGCTGATGCCATATGGTATGGTTTGGGTCAGCTGTCCCGGCCATCTCCTGTCCCAAGATCTTGCCCATCCCCAGCCTACTGGTGCAGTGGTGGGCAATGCTGGGGAGACGGCCTTGGTGCTGTGCAACCACTGCACAGCAGTATCCAAAACACTGATGTGTTATCAACACCTTTCTAGCTACCAATACAAAGCACAGCACTATGGGGGCTGTTGTGGGGAAAATGAACCCCATCTCAGCCAGACCCAATACACTGCTTTCAAAAGATACTTTATTAATCATTCTCAGATTATTTTGTACTCAACCTCTAATCTTTTCTTGGTGACGAGGCAAAAATATACGAACTGTTCATCGGACTTGTGGCTTGTTATGTCAGCCAGTAACTGGTGGGTATAAGAAGGGTACTTCACAGTGGAGAAAGAATTCCCATGCTAATCTTCTGACACATGACATGATTTGAAAAGTTTTAGTAATGTACACAAGACTGGACAGTTCCTTCTCTCCCAGTCTGCATTAAATCGCTGCCTTGCAATTATAATGGTCATTAGTTAGGGTACTGGCAATTTTTGAGTCTTGGGAAGATGAACCACCCCCTTTGCCCTCATCCATCCAGCTTTACTTATTTGTGTTTTCACTGACATTTGTGTCCATTGACACTTAGGCAGACAGATGTATTTTCTCCAGATGAGAGAGATGTGCAGAGAAATGCATACAACCATACAGTAAGCTAGCATGTGACTTTGCATCTGTGTCAGCCATTTTACTACTGTCCATATACAGTTGGGTATTAGGAACATTTTTCTGGAGAATCTGTTTTCTGTGTGCATAGCTTAGGTATTAATTCTGAATATTGAAAGTTGCCACAGGTGTCTTCTGGTTAGTCTATTTTTTTTGTATTTTTTTCAATCATTTACATTCAAGTGTTGTCTCTTCTTTTTAAAAAATGAAATTCAAAATACAAGCCTAAATAGGGAAGTAAAAGGATTGTCTGTGAAAAGAGTACTAGTATCTCGCTCCAGTATAGTAATTTATGATGGGTTTTGGTCGCTTAGTTTATGACTGAGACTTAACCCGTGATGCTGATAGTGTACGAGAGTTCTCTAGCCTTGAACACTAGTTTATCGTAAGCACTCTTTTTATATGTACAAGTGTTGTTAGGCCACAATTTTTGGTAGTTGTGTTTGTGCCCAGTATGTCAGTATTGGAAGATTTTATTTTAATTTTCCTAATCCAGGCAAAAGGTGTCAGAAGTTATTCTCTCTGTAAAGAAAACCTTAGAACTGAGGAAAAGCACTTTAGTTTTGTTGCGATCCTGTCAGTTAAACTTCAGAAGCTTCTGCTAATACCAGTTTTTACATATGTATTTTATGTTCTTGCTTAAAATAAACAAGAACTTTCTTGATTTTTTTTTTGTTTGTTTTTCCTGTAGAAAACTGATTCCCCCCCCTCCAAATTATGTAGGACAAGCTGTTAATTCCTTGATTTGAAAAATCCTTTTAGTGTCAATAGATTCTGAATCTTTAGAGGTGCAAGACTTTCCAGAAACCAGAATAGAACTTCAAGCTGAAGTTAATTTTGAACTTGTTTTACATTGAAAAGTAGTACTTTTGACTTAAGTAGAAACTACTTCTACTTGTAGTACAGAATGTTGTTAAGACCAACTATTAAAGACTTTAAAATCAAAAGTGCACTGAATCCTTTAGAGGTTACTGTTCTTTGGAAAAGTGCTGCATAGTTTAAAATGGGTGGATGCAAAGTTTCAAGCACCTACGAAATAATCTTCATTTTAAGATACCTTCATCTTTGTTTTATCTGAAATTTTAATGTAACTAAAATGGTTTTGTTCTTGGTGCAGTAATACTAGGTATTTCATCATCTTATAAGTGAAGTGGTATCAGTTTATGATGATTAAAAGCCTCATCTGGTGAAGGGGGCTTGTTGCCTAGCAGACCAGCTGCTGCTAGGCACTTTATATTCTTATCATACTGGCTGACTGATACCTAATCTAAGACTGGAAAGGCAAACTGACTTCTCTGTTCTGTGTAATGCCCTTGCTGTGTATGGGACGATGTAAAACTCTAGTTCAGTGCTGAATAGGGTCTTAGATGTGCTTTGGCCAAGAAAAGCTATGATGACAAATTATTGCAGAAGTAGTAGCAAAGAAATTTGACATAACTTCAAAATCTATACAGATTTATACACTTGCTCAGTAGCTTGCTGGATTTTCAGAACTTCCCATTTGCTGTAATCGGGTATGTAGACTTTTCATAGATACTGGTCCTATACAGAGGCAAGTAGTTGCATGTGTGCTTTATAGTGCTAGATGGGAAAGGTCTTCTACTTTTTCTGTAGTTCAGTGATAATTTTGAGAACATTTATGTTAAAACTAGGTTGTTTTCACTGCTTGCTCTGATGTAATAGAACTTTGTATTCTGGACCTAGAAGCGGTGCTTGTGCCCACATGATTTGTATTTACATTGACAGTTGACATATTTTTTTTTTTATGTGTGTGCTGGTTCTGTATTGATCTTAATGTTTATTATGGCTCCTTTTCCAAGAGGATGAAAGATAGATGAAGCATCTGAAAGTGTTTCTATTAATGTCTGTGAAGGGTATTAGAATGCATTGTCTAAGCAGATTCTTTGTACTAGGAATGTCACCGAAATTGGAAATAAACCTCGTAACACCAATGTAGTGTTAAAAAGCAGGCATTCTTTATTCATGGCACTGGGAACGCGGGGGATAGCTCCTCCCAAAATAGTGTTCGTTCAATCAGTCTAAGAAACATTCTTTTATAGATACACAAATATATATTCATTATCCTCTACACAATGATTGGTTAAAAATTCTTCGCCTAACATGTAAATGACTACGCATGCTCACTATAACTTTCTAAGAATTTACTTCCTTGATCTTCCTTTTACTACCCTTGATCTTGGGTCGGAGGGTTTCTTGAGTGGGTGGTCTCTGAGTCGGTGGTCGTGATCTCCCCCTGCCGGAATTACCTTTTCTCCAAGTTAACTTAAACTTGGCAATACCAAATGGTCCTTCACGGACCGTTAACACAAACACACAATTATTCATTTCAAAGTCTTTGTTTCAAGACAGCAAAATTGCCTTCACTGTGTTAGACTACACCATTCAGACCAGTTGCACTGTTCCCTATTTGCTATCAAAGAACAAGACATACTACTCTTAATTCTGATCTTATACAATTACAATGTTACATACTGATTAGATCCTAGATGTTTGAATCAAGATGGAAAGGGTTGGGTGGACTTCTGAGCAGCATTCCTGGTGCATAATGTTCTTATGGTTACATCTCTATAGCCTTATTACAATTCCCAGCACCTCGGTTACAGGAAGACCACTATTCTTATTAGTAGTAAACTTGATGAAAATGGGTTACAGAACTAATTTAAAGAAGAAAGCAGTTTTCTAATGTCTTGTCTTATCTTTTTTTAAGATTGATATTTTGTTTGCAAGATTAGCACTGCAAACTATTCCTGAGGATTTAGACCTACGAGACGATAGCCTACTTAAAAACTTAGACATTAGATGCATAAGAAGTCTTAATGGTATGTATATACAAATTTGCATATAAACTTCTCATCTAATCTTTTAATAAGTATCTTAGATTGTTTGATACAGTAGTTAGTTGTTGACTTGACTGAAAATATGGCAACTCCATATCTATAAATGAAATCATAGCCAGTTTTATATATCTTTTTGAAGAGAAGGGTTGTTCCTTGTTGGCCACATTTTTATAAAAATTTTTCTTTTATTTGGGTAGTAAATGGTGCTGTCTAGAAATGAATGGGACTTGCAAGACTTTTCTGTGGAGCACTATTTATAACTTAATATGTATGCATGTCTTCTAATTTGTATGTGTTTTAAGATACATGAACATACACAAAATTGCTTCAGTGATAAATTGGGGATATCAAAATACTTTCAGCTTGAGATCAGGTCTCAGGTCTTAAGTAGCTTACCAGCTTGTGGAACCCTTAACTTTTCTATAATACCGCAGCTTAAAAAAATGTTTTTTATGTACAGGATGGTAGGGGCTTTAGCCTGTATGCAACTTGGCGGGGGGAGAGGAACATGTGATGTATCACTGACTTCTGTTATGAGCTGAAACCTTGATAATTTGACATTACCACTGCAACTTGCACTGTTTTGTGACATTCACATTTGTGTAGTCTCTAGAATTCATGCTTGCCTCTTACTTGCTTTGAAAGGAACTCCTAGTCTTAGATAATACTATCTTCTTGCAACTAGCTCTCTGCAACTGTTTAGTAACTATGAACAAATCAAGCAGTTAATATTGTAGTATCTAATGTTATTCTTAATCCTGAAATTATCCTATCAAAGTAATTCATATATCTAAAAACTATTCTCTTTAACCTGTTCTCATAAATTCAAACAAAGCTGTGACCTGTGACTTCCAGGTTTTGTCTACGTCCGTGAAGACTCATGCTTTTAATTTGTCTGCATGTGGTATGATACACTGCATGTAATCCCTTAATAGCAGAACTTAAAATTTGTTTGTTTCTTAAACAGCTTGTACAGCTCAATAATAAGAGAAAATAAAGTAGCAGTCCAAAACTGTAACTATGCGTGCATGAATGTTGAGTGCTGCTGTAAAACAGCAGTAAGTAAGAGGAAAAAAACACCAAAAGAAAGTATGTTAAACTTTCTAATTCAAAACAAAAGGGATCAAAATATGAAATGAGTTTCCAGCATGCTGATCTGAAAAGTTTGATAGCTTTGAAGGTGAGGGGGGGTAAGCCAGCAAAAAACTTTGCAGGCAGCAAGTTTAATGGGTTCTTTCTTTTGGCAGGTTGCCGGGTAACCGATGAAATTCTGCATCTAGTACCAAACATTGACAACTTCAGGTTAACACTGAGAGCTATCAAACTGTGGGCAAAACGTAAGCAGTTTTATTCCAAAATTTGTGAAGTTCCTGTTAATTCTTACAGTTACTGATAACTCTCTCCTTTTGTCTCTTTCCTTCTCAATCCACAGGCCACAACATCTATTCCAATATACTAGGTTTCCTTGGCGGTGTTTCCTGGGCTATGCTAGTAGCAAGAACTTGCCAGCTTTATCCAAATGCAATAGCATCAACTCTTGTACATAAATTTTTCTTGGTATTTTCTAAATGGTATGTTTTTTCTTTAAATTTAGATTACACTAAAATAAAATTGTTTGTAGACACTAAATTTTAGTCCTGTTTTTATGGTATCATTTTCAGCTGTTACCAGAATAAGATAGTAGTTATAAGCATTGTTCTTGCTGCCAGAAAGTTGTTAGCTTGAAGTCTTCAATAAGTCACCCAACATGTCTTGTTCTTAAAGAATCCAAAACTAAACCACACAGTTTTTAATTAAAATTTTCTTAAGTATTTGTCATAACTCAACATTACTCTTCAGATAAAATACTTACAAAGTATTTAAGCAAATTAAGAGCAGACGCCCCAAAATGTTAAGGCTTTTAACATTCAGGTACTGGGATGATGGGAAAAGGAGGCATGTCAGTATTGGTTTTGGGCACACGGCTTAAATGCAGTTCAGGAGAACCAGTGTCAAAAGTGTGGTTTTTAATCTTTTTAGTGTGGAGAGGTAGGTGTTTTGGAAGTTGGAATTTCATACAATTTCATACTCCTGAGATAGTTACTTCAGAAAGATAGTTTGAATAACTGATGGGAGTAATGGGAACATTGCAAGGAAATTTAGAATGAATGGTACAAAAATGTACTTTGCAGATTACAAATGAATACTGTTTTTCTTGAAA